CCTAGGGGTAAGATCGTTTCCATTTTGTTAAGAGGAGCCAACCATCTCCCTGGCACCCTAGCAAGGCACACTCAACAAGAGCCAAGGTTACTTTAAGACTTACCCGCATGGCTGTCTCAAAAGAGCCTGCCAGGATGTGATCAACTGGAAGCTGAGAGTTATTGCACCAGATCTAACAAGAAACAGAAAAGCCAACTCATGTGCTATTCCGCCCTTTCTCTTCCCAAACGACCCTATCTGTAGTAGAAAAGTAGCGATATTTTTTATACATTCATCAAGTATAGCCAGCTCAGAAACATTCATCCCCACAGGGCTGTTTCCCTGCTTACCTGAGTTGGGCTGGTTCCCTTGGTGGGGGGCACAAAGAACCCATCCTCAGCCCCACCAGCTGCCCCAGGGGGTACATCCTAGGGGAAAACAGAAAGTGAGTCATTTTGTAAGCTATTCAAGCACTCTGTCCAGATAAACCTAAACATAGCCCTTTCCCATCTTCCCAGCCTCTACTGGAGAGGATGGCGTGGTGGTTGTGGAAGACCCTCAAAATAGGAGCACCTTCACCAGTAACAAAATGATACACCAAAAGCTCAAATTCTGACAAAAAAGCATGCTGCCTTTTCATAAGCTGCCTTTGGTACAACCCTGGTTACCACACTCTTTCTTTCAAATGGGAGATAAGCATCAGAGTAGGAAGGTCCAGACACTCTCTCTTCTGGGGACGCCAGGAACAGGAAGGGGGGTTAGCAATAAGGCCAGAGCTTCCTGAGGGAGAACTGGAGAGAACTTCATAAGGGCAGGAATTCCACGTACCAGCTCAGGAGGGAGCTCCAGATCTTCTTCCACATCCCAGCCACCTCCTTCCTCCTGTCCCTTGCCAAGAGCATCATCCCCCAAACCTTCTGTAGCCTCCACAAACCCATCTGTAAGGAAGAGTCAGGCTCAAAATAGGTTTGTACAGTGACAGACTCTCAGCTGAAGGAAAGCGAAATGCGGGGATCCTTGCTGGTCTCATGTGCTGGAAGGCTGCAGAGCTGCTCCCCAGCCCGGGGCCGACCCAGGGAGCCCATCCGCCCAGAGCATCCTGGAACGGCACTCTCACCCTCGTCCAGCTGCAGCTCTGCGTCCTCTCCCCAGCCCTCAGTACCAACAGTGTCGATGTCGATGTCAGCAGCCAGTGCTCCTCCCTTCCCTGCAGAGGGAAGGACAGAAAGGAGCCCGTTATAGCCAGGCTGGTCCGAGGTGTGTCCTCCCCTGCAGGGAAGGTGCATCCTTACAGAAGCAGCTGCCAAAGTTCTGTCCACTTACTGTTTTGTTTATTATTTTGTTTTGTGGTATTTATTATGCTAACTTACAGAAGGTTTCATTCCACAGAGAAAGGGAATAGAAGAGAGATGGGAACAACTGGCCTTTTGGCTACCAAACACTGCCTCTTAAACCTTTTGTACTTACCAACCTTTGGCTACCAACTCTTAGAATTTCTTGCTGAGATCT